GGAACATGGTGCAGACATTCATCGACGGCATCCGCGACCTGGAAGTCAGAGCTGCTGTGAGGCTCGGGCACCACGAGACGCTTAACGACGCCTTGGCCCATGCACTGGAGGTAGAAGCCGTGCGGCAGGATCATCGTTCCCATCGCATCAGGGAGGTTGCAGCAGCTACAGTTCGCGACCGCAACAAAGGATACAGCCCTAGGTGCTATGGCTGTGGGGAAAAGGGCCATCTTCGATCCAGCTGCCCTAAGCGAACCCTAGAAAGGGAAGGTGAACGATCTCAGCAAGATAGTGCGGCCAACAGCACGGCCCAACAGCAGCAGGGAAACGAGTAAAAGCCAGAACTGCGAGGTGGGTGCTGGCTGATGTTAAAAGAGCCCCAAGGATCTCGATCTCACAAACCCATTATGGGAACAGTCTAATCATCAAGGGCGAGGTCAACGGAATGCCGTGTAAACTGACCATAGACACTGGAGCCTCTCGTACGGTTGTTAGTTCCCAACTTATAAGTCAGTTCCTTGGAGACTCCGCATACAACCGAGAACGCATTAATTTGGTAACAGCTACCGGTCAACGTATACCCGTCCGTGGAGAGAAGGAGATGGAGTTGAAGCTAGGCAACGTGATCTACCTGTATAATGTCATCGTGGCTGATATAATGGACGACTGCATCCTAGGCCTAGACTTTATGAGGAATAACTGTTGTGAGATCGACGTTAAGCAAGGTGTTTTGAAATGTGGACAGGAGGAACTTTTTATGGAAGGTGCGTTACCAGGGAACGTGTACAGCATTAAGAAGATTGTTCTTCCGCCGAGATCGGAAACGATTGTTCCGGTTAGTCTTCCTCGAAACGCTGGGCAAGCTCACCGTTGTGTACTTGTGGAAAGGGTAAACAATGACCTACCATGGAAAGTAGCTCGAACCTTGGTCAGAACCACTGACATCTCAAGAGTACGTATGCTGAACCTTCGTGACCGGGAACAGATTATAGAAAGAGGCATGCTGGTTGGTACTTGTGAGGAAGTGGATTGTTTACGTCGGTGCCAATATCTATCGAGTGAGACCCCAGCAAGGATGCACAAACAAGAGTGACCACACTTTTGGAAGACTATCGCAGAGTTCTCTCCCCGAACGAAATGGTCAAGGCGGAGAAGTTGTTACTCAAGTATGCCGATGTATTCTCATCAAACGTTACTGACATAGGAAAGACTGGCTTAGTTCAACACAAAATAAATACAAGAGAAGAATTGCATATCCGTCAGTGGCCAAGAAGATTGCCGGTAGCACGTGAAAAGGAAGTGGAAACCATGATTGAAGGGTGGTGTTATTGAACCTTCCTCTAGTCCATGGTGTTTACCCGTGGTGCTGGTAAAGAAGAAGGATGGCAGCATGCGGTTTTGTGTTGACTACCGCCGTCTGAACGACGTTACGAAGAAGGACAGCTATCCCTTGCCAAGAATTGATGACACGCTGGACATGCTTACAGGAGTAAAGTGAAATTGACCCTAAGGACAAGGAGAAAACTGCGTTCTCGACGGGAAAGGGTCTGTGGCAATTTAAAGTAATGCCGTTTGGGTTGTGCAATGCTCCAGCAACGTTTGAAAGGCTGATGGAACTTGTACTTACCGGGCTAATTGGCGATGCCTGTCTGGTCTACTTGGATGACATCATAATTGTAGGCCGTACGTTTGAGGAACACCTTCAAAACCTGGAATGCGTGCTCATGAAGATTCAGAGTGCCAACCTCAGGTTGAGTCCGAAGAAATGTTCACTATTCAAACGGCAAGTTAACTTTTTGGGGTATGTAGTATCGGAAGAAGGTATCCGCACGGATCCAGAGAAAATCGCCGCCGCCAAGGATTGGCCGGTTCCAAAAGACAAGACGCAGGTTAGAGCTTTTTTGGGTTTGTGCTCCTACTACCGGCGATTTGTGAAGAACTTTGCGGTATAGCCAAGCACAAGCAGAAATTGCATTTATTTTGGGATACCCTGCATGCAAGCAAAGAATTTATAGTTGACACAGACGCAAGTGATACAGGGCTCGGCGGTGTGTTGTCTCAGTGGAACGGTGATCGAGAGGTTGTGATAGCGTACTTCAGCAAGTCAGTGTCAAAACCGGAAAGGAACTATTGTGTCACAAGACGCGAATTGCTAGCTGTGGTAAAGTCGTTGCAGCATTTTTGCAAATATCTTCTGGAGCGGAAATTTCACTTACGAACTGACCATGCTGCACTAAAATGGCTATTACAGTTTAAAAATCCAGAAGGACAAGTTGCGAGATGGATTGAACTACTGCAGGAATACGACTTTGAGGTCGAATATCGCAGCGGGAAATCTCATGGCAACGCAGATGCATTGTCAAGAAGACCTTGTCCTGAAGATTGCAAACATTGTACTAGGCAAGAGAGTAAGGAAGTGGTATCCGTGAGGATGCTCAGGGCAGACCACCTCAGCAACGAGTGGAAGGACAGCTTACAACGTGCACAGCAGGAAGATCCTGACATCAAGCCGATTCTGGAATGGATGAAGGCCAGTTCTCCAAGCCCAAGTGGAGCGACGTCTCAGCGATGAGTTCGACCACTAAAAGCTATTGGGCCCAGTGGGACAGCTTGCTGCTTCAGGATGGAGTTCTGTGCCGTAAATGGTAAAATGTTCGGGGAGACAGCTGTCATTTGCAAATGGTCGTCCCTAAAGCTAGAATACCGGATGTTCTACAGCTGTAACATAATGATTGTTCAGGAGGCCATCTGGGAGTTAAGCGAACTCTACTGAAGATCCGAGAACGGTTTTACTGGGTCCACTGTCGAAACGATGTCGAGGACTGGTGTCGCAAATGTACAAGTTGTGCAGCTGTAAAAGGACCTCAGACTCGTAGTAGAGGTGCATTGAAGTTGTACAATGTTGGTGCACAATGGGAGAGAATAGCCAATAACGTGGCGGGGCCGTTTCCGAAGAGTGAAAGCGGTAACAAGTATTTCATGGTTGTGATGGATTACTTCACTAAGTGGCCGGAAATCTTCGCCATTCCAAATCAAAGAGCTCAACAGTTGCAGATAAACTAGTTCATGAAGTCTTCTGTCGTTTTGGAGTACCTTTAGAGATTCACAGCGATCAAGGAAGGAATTTTGAGTCTCAAATATTCCAGGAAACTTGCCGAGTTATGGGTACTCATAAAACAAGAACGACTTCTTATCACCCGCAATCTGATGGCATGGTAGAACGGTTTTATCAGACATTGGAGAGGTACCTAGCAAAAGTTCTAGACAATCGGCAACGAGATTGGGACAAGCACATACAACCGTTTTTGTTGTCATATCGAAGCGCTGTTCACGAAAGTACATCAGTGACACCAGCTTTCGCAAAGTTTGGAAGAGAATTACGGCTGCCTGCAGACCTGATTACCGGGATACCACATGATGCCCCACGCAGTATAACCGATTATGCAAATGACTTGCGGAACAAAATGAATGACATTCATGAGGACGTCAGACAATCAGGCCAGCAAATGTCTGAGAAGATGAAAACCCGGTACGACCGCAAAATGAACAATAAAGGCTTCGACGAAGGTTCACTAGTGTGGTTGCACAATCCAGTCCGCAGCAAAGGGAAATCTCCTAAGCTTCAAGCTTAATGGGACGGCCCGTACCGGATTGTAACCAGGATCAACGATGTAACCTACCGGATACAGAAAGGCGCAAGAGGGACTCCTAAGATCGTCCATGTGGATCGCTTGGCGCGTTATTATGGGGCCGATAATGCTCGGAACGAGCATGTCTTAGGAGGGGGCAGTGTTGCGCGAATAAGTCGACGTCATGTATCCGGCACTAGCGCCATCTAGTGTCAGGGACGAGAGCGAGGGGAGCTTTCCAGAAAATGACATCACTAATCTTTCAACCGACAGCGCCATCTAGTCTCGGAACGAATAACTAAGCTTCTAGAAGCTGACGCTCGAACTCGGCCCCTTGCGCGTGTTTACTTGAGTATTCTGGATGTTTCGGTGCTAATTTGTATTTATAGGCGCTGCAAGATGCGATCGGGGAAGTATTGAATTTGGCGAGACAAGCGAAGCTTCGGAGCGAAATAAAATGAATCAGTGTGATAAATTTTTAGTGTTTTAAGTTTTAATTGGTGTAAAGAAAATTAAAGTGTTAATTTAGGTAATTCTATCGGCAATTTTTCACGAACCTCAAGCTCGTAACAATAGTAATCTATTTTAATTAAGGAAGTTTATTTTAATAAAGTAAATAAACTACTATTTATCTAAATTGAAAGCTTTCACGTTGACTTATTTGAAAATTTAACAGCAAAATAAATGTGTCTTTCCTTACAATGGGATTTTCTTATTAAAATGGTAATCTTAAACCATAATACTATAATGAAACCGGCCAAGTGCGAGTAAGAATCCCGCATGGAGTATTGCGTGCGAATGTACAAGATTTAATACGATGTAGGTACTTTTTAAACACTTTTGTAAAAGAAAAACTATGTCTCCTGTATGGGGACCACTATTTATTTTAAATATATTTTTTACCGAATATAGCAAAACAAACTCTCTAAGCATTTTAAGCGTCAACTTGTTCCCTTTATTAAGATTGAGCGATGAAAAAAAAAGCCAAAAGAAAAACGCGTTAATAGTAGAGCGGCCTTTAATTCTTAATTTATTCTATTTTTATTATTTTGTTATTATAGCGGCAATATAAATATACATTCTGTGAAAATTTAAACTGTCTACATATTGCAGATCACGAGATAAAGCCCCTTACACACACATGGACGGACTGACTGACAGCAGATGCTCAGTAATAGGGTCCCGTTGGTTACCCTTTGGGTACGGAACCCTAAAAAGGACAGTAATATTTTTTTAATAAAAATATTATCATGGATTGAAATATTTTATTAAATTATAATACAGTTCAACAATCAATTAAGAACAGCATATGAGTGCAAAAAACTTGCTCATGTACGTTGTTCTTAAATCACTTATAATTTAATTTCACAATTATTCATAGAAAAGACGATCCAAGACTTTCAGGATAAAGTTTGCGAGAACACGGTTAAGTTTTTCCTGAAAATAAAAATAAAGTATTTGTTATAAACATATTCATTAAATTAAAAATTGTATGATCGATGACAGAAAGTCCAACATTCAGATTTGAGACAAATTTACTGCGATCACTAATCTACCTACCCAGCATCACCGTTGCATTGGATATTGGATATTAAAGTCAGTGGCGAATAATTCACTCACATTGGATTTGCCTATGATGTAGTCATTATGGCAAAATATTTAGAGGACCTTAGGAGTATGTTCACCGATCTTAATAGTCTCCGGATAGGTCTTAAAGTACATATGACTACTAAGATCAGACTAGACTAAATTCATGTCTAACAATGTATAAAGTTAGTGAGTATACGCTAGGCTGTACCTGTCAGTTTTGCCTGTACAATTACATGCGTCACGTAAGCTTGAGTTGTGTAAAAGAAGTAGCGGTTTTGCAACATACATGCTCTGATTTACCTGTACAGGTAAACCTGCCGGGTACATCCAGCGCGTATTGCTACCTTAACTTCGCCTTACTTACACAGGCAGTTATTGGGAAATCTATGCTCATACTTTTGACGAGCATTAATAACTAGGATCCAAACTTGCAGAGAATTATTTGTAGATTATAACTTAGCTTTTCATAGTGTAACTCAAAACTTGAAAACGTACATACAAACGTAAAGAATGTACAAACAGTGCGTGTTTCCAGCTATGACACGTGGATCTGAGTGAGACGTGGTCTTTCTCTGCTAGCGTATGAGTTAGCTTAAAATCTATGCATTTAGTTTCTCAGCGTAATAGACTTCGTAATGAGGATATTCGCATAAAGAACCTAACCTAACCTAACCTAACGGATCAGTAAGCTGAAGCGGTAAATGTGGCCATATAACTCATAAAATCTATAACCCTTGGGGCTAAGCTTCAAAAGTTGTAGCCTCGAACCTAAAAGAAGTGAAAGTTGTCGTCCTCATTTTAAAAAACTTAAACTTCTTACCCTAATTTGTATTTATATATTGGAATTATGCAAATTTGTGCGAAAATACCCTAATTTCTACGTAAAAAGAGAAACTAAAATTACGGCTTATAGTTTAAGACACGGAAATAGATTATTGCTACCAACTTCTAAAATGAAGCTCTTTTCCTCAGGCCCTTACATAATGTCAATAACTGTCTATAATAAACTACCAAACTCATTAAAAAACGAAACAAATGATCATATTTTTATAAGACAATTAAAAGTGTTTCTAATCAATAAATGTTATTATACTTTATATGAATACCTGAATGACAAATGTAATAATGATAATGAAAACTATAAATAAATGAATGAATAACACGAATAATGATAGTATAATAATAAGGAATAATATAAATATAATGAATAATATAATAATTATAATGAATAATAAAACATTTTTGCGTCCTCCTCTGTTCTAATTTGTTATACCCGACAGGGTCCATATTGTGAAAATTGAATATTATTAATTTCTACATTATGGAATGCAAATAAATATATTGTATTGTATTGTATTGTATTGTAGAAGTAAAAACCCGGTAATATTTACCCTCTATATATCTATATAATATATAAGTCAATTGGTGCGGGTCGCTCAAGGCCATGTTTTGTAGCATTCCTAGTGGGAGGTCTATGTTCAGCAGTGGACTTGTAAAGGGCTGTAAAGATAATGAACTATTGAATCTATTAAAAACTCACCTCATATTTCTTGAGCTGGGAAGGCAGGGTTTTCCCAAGATATTCATTCAAACGGTTAGAGATGTCGTAACCCAAGATATTAACGTGGAGGTCAGACTATAAAAAAGATATAATTTTAAATAAAAGATAAAAAGGCAAAAATTTTTATGTATTCAATTTTAAACAGTATATAAAAATTACCTCAATGTCTCCAAGGCTGAAAGCTAGATTCAAATCTTTTATTAGTTTTTCAGAACCAATGGTGACCTGGCCAGCGAAGCGAAGGTCTTTAATATTTAACCTGATGAAAATGTATGATATCAATTTATCTTTTACATAGAAACTAATTAAGTAATAAAACTTTTGATAGTATTATTTCACTAGCTCTTATTGAAGCATCTGTAAAAATAATGTTTATTTTAGGTTTATCCTTATACTACAATACTAGCTTTAAAGTATTTAGGACCGATTTTTCAGCCTTCTGATAAGAGTAACCTGATCCAATATAAAAGTGACACAATTGAACAATTTTTTTTCATACAAGTGTTATTTTTAATTTTTAATGTTATATTTTACCATGCGAATAACTTTTATCTGATGATTGAAAAAGTCGGCCCCTAATTTACTTTACATAATATTGAAAGATTAATTATTTGATTAATCATACTTGGAAACAATTAATCAAGCATTGTACAATAATTTGAATTACTGAAATTTATGAAATTATGGTTACCTGCCGCTTCCTTCCCCAAAGAGTTTACGCCTGAGGATATGGACTTCAACAGAGACATCACCTTAAATGGAAGAAAGAGAGAAAGGTAAGTGATTTTTCTATAGATATTAAATATGACGTAATACTCTATTAGCTTTCCCTCCATCCATCTATTTAAACTTATAAAAGTCCACAGCTGAACACAGACTTTCCCTATACATTACCTCATAGGGGGGATTTTTAAGTTATTGCATAGCTTCTATCGCGGGCCTTGAGCGCGGGGACCGAATCCAGAAATTCCGTAACGAAAAAAAACCTCACGCTCCCCACTCCGACGGGCACGGAGGTGTGGCGATGAAAGCCGTGCATCGTCTAACGTCGTTTCAGTTCGGCAGACTTCGGCACTCGGCAGACTTCGGCACGGTGTTTGTGTGCGTGCGACATGTATTGTAAGATATTAAAAATATTTTAAACAATATTAACTTCTCATTTATTCAATAAGAGAAAAAAAATTGTTTTCTTGCCAAAAAAAAAAAATAGCTTTACCGCGGCAGTCACCGAGTGCCACACGTATTTTTTTTTATAGAAGAGGGGGGCAAACGAGCATGCGGCTCACCTGATGTTAAGTGACTACCGCCGCCCATGATCAACACCAGGTGCAATGCGCCCCTTTAGAAAGAGTAAGCTCTTCATGAATCGTATCGGTCCGGAAAAATCGCCGGTGGTAAACTATTCCGCAGAGAGGTTGTACGCGGAAGAAAACTCCTTTTGAAACGTACTGTGGTGGACCGCCAAGCATCCAGATGGTGTGGATGGTATCGGGACGTTTGCTGCGTAGTGCGTTCATGAAATTTGGCGGCTGGGATTAATCCGAACAATTCCTCAGAGCACTCTCCATGGTATATGCGAAATAAAATGCAAAGAGATGAAACATCTCTTCGCAGTACCAGTGAATCGAGCCGATAGGAAAGCACTCGGTCGTCGACGATTCGAGCCGCTCTGCGCTGGATTTTGCCATAGCTGCCACACTTAGCAGTCGAGCTGGCAACCGAAGTATTATATAATTTTAAATTATTGTCAGGACAATGTTACCACCAATCTCCTGTTACAGTTATTCCCTTTTTCGCTTTTTACGACACACGATATAGGGTAGTGGATATACTTACACAACTACACGCCACTACACGTTAACTTCTCTCAGTAGTTACAAATATTTATTAATATATTAGTATAAAACTGTCGATTGATACACTTCATCATAATTTTGCTATGTTCGTGCTAATATTTAACTGGATTTATGTTTAACTGGATACTAGATAGCATATTGTGACTTAGAAACTGTTTGAATAGAAACACGACTATTTTATTATTTTTGTGTCAAGAAACAGGATTCACTCTTTGTAACAATTTGAAGGGTATGCAAAGCAAGTAATGTCACTTGTGAATTCTATTCGATTAACACACGTAAAATTGATCCACAACTTGCAGCTGCTGCTGGTTGCTGCTGCATGAGAAGATGTTTGCCGTTGCCTGCAGCAGTAGTTTGTTTTAATCTAAGAGACTCTAATTATAATATCCGCATCAGATCCAGAGTAACTAACATAGCCCACCAGATCATTAAGCTAAAGTGGCATTGAGCTGTTCATATAGCTTAATAAATTAACATCCGATAGAGAAGAAGGGCCCAAGGGTAGTAACCTAATATCGTCATGTGAAGTATAGGATGGCTACTAGATGAAGTGACGAGCTCTTACCAGGTCCAAGTAGGAAGTCGATAGAGGCAGGAAACTCTGGACCCTGCTTTGTGGTATTAATTGGGGGAGGCCTGTGTTCAGCAGTTGACTTGTGATGGGCTGCAATGATACTATTTATCTCCGGCTGAAGTCACAACTGACCACTGCCCGATACTATTAATACTTTTATCAAATGTTATTATAAAATCAAATTAATCCTTACCAATAAAAGAATCAATACTGGGAAGTGATATGTCGAAGCTGAGGGTACTGTGTTTGAAGCTGACTTCATTAACGACAATGTTGCTAAGACCAGACGACTCGAAATTCTCAATGGAAACGCTGCCACTGAAGATTCTGGGTTGGAGAATATATTGAATTACGATGACGTGGCTTATGATCGAAATACCAACAACTATGCCAAGGATTCGAATCAGAGTTAGGATCAAGATATGTGCATTGTATTTTTCTGAATATATTTTAGAATTTATGCGAATGGTAAATATTTTAATAAAACAAATGCCTACAGGTTTTATTGCATTTAAATTTAATTTATTTTAAGCTCCCTAAGTCTAGAAAGCTTCTCCCGTAATCTTTTCGTGACCGTGACTAATCCAAATCACTTGAGGCGTTATAAAACGATTGTGCACTTGTCAGCTTGTTTTTGAATACTATTCGCAAGATGTCACAATCTTTAATATACTTTGTAAATTTTTAGTAAATCATCACATAGCATAATTTTATGATTTAGAAGTTCAGAAAGTATCTGCCTCAAGCAACCATGATATTTGCTTAAATTCAAAGACGTGCTTCTAAAGTTGCATTAATATCATACACAGCACTTAGGCGTGACAAAATATGTCTTCATTGCATCAGTAATAGGTCAAAAATATTGCAATAAAAGGCTTGTAAAAGTTCTCCTTTATAATACAAGCTACTGCTCCCGCTTTTCCGCCTCATTTAACTTTCATTGTCTGACTCATCGGGAGGTTAGTTTAAAATCAATTACTAAATTCCTCTCAAACAGACATACACTAAAGCGAGTTAACAAAATCGTAGTAAAAACGTGGTAAAATGGTAGTAACCCTCAAGGGGGACAACGCCGGGTGCGGTCTAACCATCATTTTTAATGTTGGATGCAGATGTCCATTCATTATGGATATGTAGGATATAAACTCATACATATACATTACATATTTTAGCAGATATTTCGCATAATTATAATTGGCATATTTTATTTAAAATAATTATATATATATATATATATATATATATATATATATATATATATATATATATATATATATATGTGTTTATTTTTTTAAAGTTTGCTCTTTCATTTTATTTAAAACCTTTCTAGATGTGAGAACTATAATTTTTTCAAAATCAGAAGCAGGCTTACCCATCTACGGGGAAAGTGTATTCTCCATCAAATTTGTCAATTACCAGCGGGTCGAGCCCTAAGCCCTGGATATGCTCGGCGATACGTTCAATGATGTTAATAACAATCCCATCGATGATTTTTTCTTTCTTTACATCTGTAACAACGTGAGCCAGTTGAGAGATAAGTCTTATTATTCCATAGAAACAATATAATTTCTGTTCATAAGATCCGTGATTTTTAAATAAATTCAAGCAGAAAATTGTTATTCGAATGGATATAAATTAGTTAAAATACTATTTTATGAATTTGAATTAAAAATATGGTCGGTAAAGTTCAATCGTCACCTTAGAACGTATATTTAAAAATAATTTTAATAATATATACTAATAAGAAGCATTCACTTACTAGCTTTTGGGGCATGATGAGGTAAGGAGTTAACACCGACCAGCAACGCGACGAAAGCCAAGGTGATGGTTTTCATTTTAGCGTCCCTATAAATATGGGACTTAAACTATAATTTATTACACAAAACATCTCTTTTTAACTATAAAGTTAGATTAGGGCCGTAGATAATACCGCGTTCTGTAATAAGTGTTGTTTTCACAATATTTGAAAATAATGAAACATGTTCTAATAAAATTACGAACGAACAACTAAATCACCAACAGATATTGCCAGAACAATCAAGACAGTCGAATAGTTAAATATAATTTCAAAAATACAAACTGCAAAACTCTGTGTTTGTGACTTTCAAGCTACTATTTGACTACTCTCGTTAAACATTTCTAGCACTAAATATTCCAAGCTTAGTTGGAGGAATCACATTTTTATAACATTTTTATAAAGTTAGTTTGATGGACTCCCTAACATTAAACATGCGTTAAGGGTACCTATAAGGGTGAATGTACCAAGTTTCTTTCCAAGTACTAGTCAACCCACCTATTCGCGGTGCACCCTGTTGTCTTATGAACGAGGTTTTAGTAATCAGTTGATATTAATAATTCCATTAAAAATCGCTAAACCCTAATATTACTGACTCACACCAAAGCGTTTTAGGAATGCAGGAATTTTATTTTTGATAGACCATTTGTCCACGGTTACGTTTAATTGAGTTTTCATTATATTTCAGTAATTTCCTAATAATTTTCCACTAAACAAAACTGATAATAGTAAGTAAATGGGCGACGACGTTGCTTAGTAATTAGCCAATCTGACCGAAAAATCTAGCACTGAATTCAAATTCCAGAAAACTCATGATTTTATAGCACGATGATGTTATGATAACCCCCAATTTTCTTACATTCAGACCTCTTTAACCCCTTTTTCTGGATTTCAAAATCAACGCACACTAAATATTTGAACCCGATGACCAATAACGAATTTCATGTAATTTGATATAAAATTCGAACAGATATCTTCGTTTGTGTAATGAACGTTTCTTCATCCCTTGAGTCCCTTTCAATAATATACATAATAAAACAAAAATCCTCTTCTTAATTTTCGCCAGTAGCTTGTTCCGGAAAGTTTACCATATACTTTGTACATAGAACAGCAAAGTAGACAGCAAGTATAAACGAAAACAGTTCTCAAATAAACCAGGAATTACTTCATATCAGCGTTATGGACAAGCAAAAATGTAAGGAGAGTAGTGAAATTATTGTTAATGTTGAAAGGAAAACGTTTGAAGTTTGAACCTGAATTTAACATGTAAAAAAATCTATCTATTATTGTATGCAATAGATGTATTGACTTACCTGCTCTATCGAATAGCTGACTAAAAATATTTACAATAACAACTATTTATACGGAACAGAAAACTTTGATAACATCTTAACGTAATCAATCAATTATAGTTCCGATTGGTTATATCTTTTTTAAATAAATAGCGTACATTTTGAAACGAGCGCAACTGTTAGTCATTTGAGCACTTTATAATTAATAAAATAAATTATTACTGTGCAGATAAATTTAGTAGAAATTTTCTATAAGTAGACCTTTTAATACTCCTAATATTAGTTATTAATAAATAAAATAATAATTAGTTATTAATTGCGAGCCGTTGCTAAAATAATTCATATATAAATATTGTGAGGAAGCGGATTAAAAAAATCCAGTTATTTTCTCCCTATGGGTATCAAAGAGGCACGTATGGAAAATGTCAATATAATTATATGACGGTACAAGTAGAGACATCTCGTGTCCAAAGTGTAAAAGTTTGGTAGTACGAGCGTCAATTCATTTTGCAAGTAAGTCTAACACCAATCCTTCAGGCGAGATACTTGTCTACTTTTCCAATAGCCGAGTCTAACGGGCTGCGGATGATCATAGTGAATATATTTAGGGATATGCTGACTTTTTTACCGTGAAGGAAAAATTAAGATGTAATAGGTGAACGAATTAGAGTCGTATATATATATTGTTCAAATATATTATTTTTAAAAGTATTTTTTTACTGTAAAAAATAAATAAAGCCATTAAAAATAACAAGATTCAAACCATGTACTATTTTACGCACGATAAAAAATATTAATGAACGTAACGTAACGCCCTTAACCTTGAACCAACCGCTACGTAAAAACCGCTGTTGCGGTGGTGGTGTGCCCGCCGGAGAAATGGAATGTCGATATTACCACATTTTAAGAAAGAGAGAAAGAAATAAATAAATAAATTAAGAAAGAAAACCTAATTTGAAATTACATAAAAAATATTTCACGAAATAAAAAAATGCCAGAGAATTTGTGTGAAGTCAAATTCGGTTCCGTTTCAGCTAACTGCTGTGGTTGATTGTGATGACCCTCTAAATTCCAATTTTTCATTACATTAGGTTTCGAATATTTTAGTTGTTCGCTAACCCACAGCAATTCATCATATAAGAAACGTGAAGTTTTTGATGCAAGATGTAATTTTCGACACGATGACATTTTTAATATTGCATAGCCCTCTCCGTAGCTCGATAAGCGACCTTAAGCTTCCAAACGGCCAGTAGTGAAGGACCACGTCTCAGTTTCATATGACCCATAATTCATTACTGGCAACACGCACTGGTTTTACAATCTTGTTTTTAGGTTTTGAAGTATGTCTAATACGACGAAGAGACTATGTAGCGCTTAAATCTACCGAACGCTGCCCAGCCGAGTTGAATCCGTCGATTGACCTCTCGGTGGAAGTTAGCCTTACCTAGTCAGACTATTTGTCCTAAGTAAACATACTCGTCAACAATTTCGAGCTTAGTGCTCCCAACAACTATTGGCAAAAGCTGGTGACCTATGTCGGTAGTTGTTGGGTCAATACTTTACTCATGGCTTTCGTTTTATCCATGTTCATCTTATGAACTGTCCTTTGGAAGACTCTATTGAGGTCATTGAGTATTACTGCTTAGGTCCTCCAGCGATTATGTCATAAGGACTATATCGTCGTCATATTGGAGGTGAGTGATGTACTCGCCATTGACGTTAATTCGGAATCCTTTCAAGTCCAGTAGCTACGTCTTCAAATGCAGCGTTAAGGAGTTTCGGATATATTATGTTACCATTTTCTTACACCTCTCTGCGGTGGGTTAGGTTTCGTACTCTAGTTGTGTACTCGGATATTCATCATAGCCCTACTGTGCAAACACTTCAGCACTTCGATATACCGACAGTCAACTTGGCACCGCTGGGGGGACTGTAGTACCACCCAAGTTACGACAGCATCAAAGGTTTTCTCATAGTCCACATTTACAAGGCAAAGTGGCGGTATATACTCTTTAGTACAATTTGCCGAAGGGTATGTATGTGGCCTATGGTGCTAAAGCCTTTTCGGAAACCGGCTTGTTCGGGCGGTTTTATTTAATAAAAACATTGAACTTGGTAATTGACAAATCCGTACATTTTCGAAGACTTAGTTGTAGAAGTAATACCTAAATTCCGTTAAATTTATTGCGTCTGTAATAGATAAAATTGCATCCTAACTTGCCATAATTTTTAAAACTAGTATCGAATCTGGTGTGTTTCCTGATTTAATGAAACACAGTAAAGTTATATCTTTATTTAGATCTGGTAGAACATTGGACCCCACTAAATTAAAAATCTGTACTGCCAACACTTAGTATAAAGTTTGAAAAAATTATTTTGTTTAAATGTTAAGTGTTTTAATGTAAATAAATTGATTCATTTAAATCTTGAAAAAAAATTGATTTTACAATGGGTCGCTCGACAACCGACGTCGGTGTTGAGCTGATTAAACATATTTTTTGTACATGGGAGAATTTAGTAGATATTTTGGGTACATTTTGCAATCTTTCTATAGCTTTTGGCTGTGTCCACTATGAGACATTACTCACGAAGCTACACATTATGGTGTTAAAACATAGCGCTTAAACTCATTTCGTCATATCTACATAATGTAATGCAAACAATAGTTATTTACGGAATCAATTTTTCCAGATTGGTAGTATCTATGGGCGTTCCTTGTGGCTTAATCGTTTTTATAGAATACGGGTAGCAAACGAACACACATTTCATCTTAAGTGAATGCTGTGGCCCATAGACATCCGCATTTATTCCTACTTCAGAATCAAAATGCAGATGCGTTGTCCTCTGAGGATTAAGATGTAATGCCTCGTTTCCAGTAAAAGGGTCCCGGGTTCTCTAAACTCACCATACGATATACAGCATTATTAATCTGTTATTTTCCGTTGGTATTCTGTAAGAGCATGGACCGACCCCGATCGAGCCCACCACAATGCGTACCACCTTAGTCCTCAGGGATGGCAACGCATCTGCATTTTGTATCCTAATCGAGGATAAATGTAGATACTGTAACGCTCCCCCTCCCCTCCCTTCCCCTCACTCTGTATAAAAATAATATTATATTAAATATAATTATTTTACCCCTTTTCAACAACATTATATATATGTGACCAAGATAAATAAAATATGTTTTGATCTTCCTAAATGATCTTTCAAAAGGTTTAATAATAGGCCGTTTGCAATGTTTTGGCGTGATCGTCTTAGCTAGGACCCTTATTTACGTTGTGTTTGTTTAGTAACTTAGTTCTTTTAGGTGTCTTTTGGAAGAATGAATATTCACTAGAGTGATCGAAAGCTGTTGGTAGTGCCTTAAAAGCTAAGTGAACCCCGTTCACGAAGACAGGGCTCGAGAAAGGTTAAGATCATAAACGTCCCTATTCCACTTGTATCAGGTTGATATTATTAATTTGTTATTATTTATCCCTTCCCGCTTGGAAAAGGCTCACAAAATATTTATACAAAATACCCGATACAAGGGCTTCGCTCTCCTACATTTATTTTAAAAAAATGTAGGGGAGGCACACGCCGTACGCGGTGAGCGCCAACCATTTTGATGCACTCCCCCAGAAGGGAACGCTAATTCTGGAACTGGACCGTAGTCCACAGCAAAATAACTGGCGAACCAGTAATAGAGGCTTGGCCCTTGTTAGTGCGTAAGCACAATCATCGACCGAACTCGCGCATGTCGATG